GCCAGGAATGGATCGAACTCATTGAAAAACACGCTAGAAGTTTCAGATCCTAAATAATAGACATTTTTGGCACATTTTAAGCGTTTTTGAGCCTTTACGCTCTTCAACCGACGATTTCTTGCTTATTATTGACCCAAACACTTTATAAATGCACGTTTCTGGCCTTCTTACGTCGAAAGAAATCGATTGAACTCAAAAAACACGCATGTACAATTTTGATTTTTGACCCAATTTTTTTTAAGGGTGGAGGTCGATTTTTGGAAAAATTAGAATTTTTTCAAAATGTCTCAAATTTTACGTCAGCTTCAGCTCACGGACGCCAGGAATGCATCGAACTCATTGAAAAACACGCTAGAAGTTTCAGATCCAAAATAATAGACATTTTGGGCACATTTTAAGCGTTTTTTATCGTTCACGATCGCTTGGACTCGCAGGCCACGTTCAGCATCGTATCGCCGGTGTGCACGTACCTTAACAGGTTCGAAACCGGTTCTGTGGGTGCTTGCAATTGACTAAAAAGCGTGTAATTTTCCATTTGTGTTTGAAAATCGCACAACAATTTCTATCAAAAATTCTTCTCCTGCTTTGGATCCCTAATGAACATTTTGCTCAGTAACCCAGACGGTTGGTCGGTTATAATGGCATTTAAATTATTACTGCGAATGCCAAAATTAGTCTAGTAGACGTTTCTTCATGCAGGAAATTAAGGTCAAAACGATATAAAAAACTGGACCAAAGCGTGAAAAGTTGCACATATCGAAAATTCCCAAGAAAGCTACAATGAAACCGTTTTATTAGCATCGAAGAATTAGTATTCTAGGTAACTAGCAGCCAATGTCGAGGATATACAAAATAGTGGCCACTATTAACTGTACAAAGGTGCCATTGTGAATCTTAAGTCTTCGGCTGTGAATAATTTGATCGTTTTAGAGAGTTCTTAACAGGAATGGGCGCTCGAATGGAGCTAAATGCTTTTTCCGGTTTTTTGACCGCAGAAACACTAAGAACACTTCCGCAGCATTGATTTAACTACGAAAAAAACCGAATAATCTTCACAAAAAAGTCATCAGTGACTCCTAAAATAGACATTAATTGATGGCATGCAGGTGAATCACTCATGTATTTCTTCGAAACCCAACAATGGTGGGAACTCCTGCCGTTTGGAATACCTTTAGGGTACGCTGCACTTTTGTCTTATCCATGGTGTTTAGGTCGGGTCAGACAGGATGTTGTTCTTTGACTATTCAACTTATAGAGAGCGAACGAGAAGGAACGAAAAACCCAAAAAATCAATGCAGAATCTGACTATTAAAAAACTCAGATTCCTGCATGCAAACTAGGAAGGTGAAACTCCCCTGAAAAGTTTCACTTTATTCGCAATTCGATTCTTTAGATATCACGCCAATTTTTACAGTCAACCAGAAATTTCACAGCCAATTGAGTTTTGCTGTATATTTACCACATTTCAACAAAGAGGTCGATTCGACCTGAATATTGCTTGCGGTTTGGATATGACAAACACATTGCGAAAACGCCGCTTTTCTTTACATCGAATTATTTACTATTATTAAGGACGACTTTGGTAGGTCGCCATTCATGCAAGCATTTTCTTCGTAACAATCATTTATTTCAAGCATTCTTGGAATTAGTGGTTGAACAAATGGTATAGCGGGTTATTGTAGAACCAGAAGAAAAACGCCTGGAGTCAAAGTGAAAATTTGCAGGCTTCTGGGCTTTTGCCAGCACATCGGAGCACCTTTAAGCTATAAACCGGCAAAGTTTCAAGGAAATCCGACACCCCATTGGTTTTCCGAATGTGGAAATGTGGATCTCAACAGAGCGTGTTGCTAAACATCGCAAAATCAAGCGAAAAAAATTCTGGAGTCCATTCCAAAGCCCGCAAAGTCTTGCAATTTTTGAGTGCAGAGTTTCTAAGCTCTAAATCGGCAAAATTTAGTGGGGAAATCGGCACTAGTTGATGTTTTGAGGCTCTGAAACATCGATCTCGAAAAACCGTGTTACATAAAATTGCAGCGTCAAAAGAAAAAAATTCTGGACTCAACCCTAAACCGGACAGACTTGGGCAACTCTGACATAGGAGCATAGAAGGACGTTCAGGCAATAAATCGCCAAGATTTTACAGACCTCCAAGTTCTGGACAAGTTTTCGGAGGCCCTACAGCTTTTCCCAATTAAACCATTTTTCTTAGTTTATGTATAATTTTTCAGTTTTCCTAAGAAACACATCGGAATTAGAGCTTCAGAACTAGTCGCCTATGTGCTCGTTGATCTCGCTCAGAGCCCACTCCGCTCTGCCAGCCACTCCAAGCCCTCTTGACCGAAACCTCTAAACTGATGATACCAATAGAGTCACTGTACGAACTTCTGACACTTCCCCATATGACCTTCCATACTGGTTCCCTGCAGACCACCAAAACATTCCTGCGGCCCGAACTAACTTTCTCCGCCTTAAGACGTGTCGCCTACCTGTTTGGTCGGCTAAATCCACATGGAAAAGTATCCAGAAAATATGGCAATTGTCACGGGTAGTACTTAAACGTTGACACTACAGCATTTTTCGACCGATTTTTGCAAGAAACTGTTAAGAATCCTTCTTACTTAACGACACCTAAGGCTGCGTTCGACTACGGTCGGCCGCCCGAGTCCGAGAGGTGAGGTAAAGGTGCGTCCCGTTAGGTTGGTATGTTGGACAAGGCTTGTCTACACCAAAAACCTACCAAGTCTTCAGGTATACCATCAACCAAGCCCCAGAGAACGGGGCGTTCGATTTAACAAACTTGCGCTTTTGCAATTTTTTGGGCGATTTTGTTACAGTTTGATACTTGAGAAACGTCGTTAATATCTCTGCTGAGGCAAACCGCTGGTGCAAAGAGCGGGGTTTAAGAAGCAAATCGTAAACAAATCGCGTTGGTTGCCATGGAAACCTGTGCAACAATCCTCCTGAAACTGGACGAGGACCGCGCACACCACGGTTCCACTTTCAACTAAACCTAAGAAAATTCGAATGTTTTACCGATTTTCCGATCGTGATTTTTTAATTGCTGTTACTTTCACATCTCAGCTTAGATCACATCGGGCTAAGTTCTATACCAAACTACGCACAAAACCTTCTGCAGCTCACAGCTAAACCTGCCGATTTTGTGCAGTTTGCCCAAGATATCGCCATCTAGCCTTTTACAGTGATGGTTTTTCAGCGAATATCAGCAGCAAACATCCAAAAGCATCGGCTCGCTTCAACAACAACAACAAGAACCATCGAATGGTACCCAAATCGAAGACCTCCCGGTAATACGTGTCAATTTTATATGGGTACCCTCAGCTGTGGTTATAGCGAACCTGCACCAAACCACCAACCATTTGCTCCGATGCTTGCAAAGTTTGCCTGCATTAAATGCGCTTTTCGTAAATAAAGTTTTATTGTAGAAGGGAATTGTACAAAAAAATATGCCTGAATTAATCGGGAAAAGAGCCAGTTGTAATGTTTCGCACCACAAGAAAAACAGTGGAAATCGGCACGTAAACCCCTTGGATTTTCAGCTGAAACCCGGCGTTCCAAACTTTAAATAAAAGCACCAAAAGAGCCAGCAGAAAAGTGAACAGAATCCAGAGACATCGTTTGCAGGCCAACTTTTTGGCTTTCGCCAGGGCTTTTCGGATCTTCTGTCCTTTGGAGGCCTGACAACGTTTCGCTTGCTGATCGTGGTTATCATCAGCGATGAACAACTGAAGCACTCCAGCACTCAGGGCGCATATCTGAAAAACGCCCTTTTTTAAGAAATAGGAAAACAATGGCTTCAACTAACAGTTTATTTAGTTTGTGCTTAAATCTCGAGAGGAATTACGGTTTTGATAATGTCCCAAACCGAGACAGTAATATGGGTTTCCTCATCAAGCGGTAGCAGGAGTTTCTGGGTTTCAGTCGCTCGTTTGATCGCGTAAAGACACGCGAAAAACAATGCAAAGAACAGTAGTAGAAAAATGCGTTTAATAGCAAAATGGATGAGGGCTTTGACGACTAAGTTTAGCAGTTTTTTGTCTTTTTTTGGACCTTGAAAAAACTCCTCAGGCTGTGGAACTAAAGGGCGTCCAGCAGTTTCTTGCGTTTTATCCAGCATACCGAAAATCAGCGCGGTTCCCTAAAAATTCAGGTTTGGGTTTGCTTAATTAAACTGTTTCAAAGGCATCGGGGGACGAAAAATCTGCTAAAGAGCGTTTGTACTTACTTGACCAAAAATCAAATATTTGGCGCAAGAAAAACCATGCAAAATAAAGGATGTTGCAACATTAATTGAGTACAGCTTATGGCACAAGATTTTTTCACTCAAACCACTGCTTGGTACAGTTTCTTCGAACGTCCAGCACTCATTTTTTGAGTTTTGACAACAGCAACTATTATTAGAGCCAGAATCTTCCTTAGTTGGTGTCTAAAGATCATACAACCAAATTTTAATGATTATAAAAAAATGTATTGTTTACCCTTACCAGAGAACAGTGTGTTTCAAATATTTTCATGGAAATTTCCCATTTATCCATCGCGCTGTTTTTAATGGCTTTCATTTGAGCGACTGTGTTAAACCATAAAGCCAATTCGCTGATAATTATAATAAATAGCAGCAAATTTTCCTGCAAAATTTTATTGCAATGGCCAAAAGGCTTTGAGTAGAAAGTGCAGGCAATTTTACCAGTTTGAGTAGGACCTTGTGATTTTTTAACGTTCCATAGAAGCTCAAAGGGCAGAAGAGCAGGAGGTTGAAGGCACCAAATACCACTAAGGCCAGCCCCAATTTTTTTATTGGAGGTTCATACCAATGTAACATTAGGTAGACTTTTGGGCTAGTTTTTGTCAGTATTAAGGCCCCGAATATGAGCATGGCAAGGGCGCAGAGCTAAAACTCAAGGTGGTAAAAATTGCGTTATTTTGGCGAAATGTTTGCTCGGGTACCCCAAAAATCACTAGGAAGCTTAAAAGGTAGTAGCGGCAAGTTTTTCTCCAAATGTTCACAGTTTTCTTGAGCACATTTCGGCTTTTTTCAGAAAATGACAACGAAGAAGCTTCGTTGTGCTCATTTGGACCAGCTTTTCTTATTAGCTCATTTCTCTGATTTATTAGATTTTTCCATCTTGGCACCATCGGCTGTCTTTCGTATGTATCTTTAAATATCGGGTAATTTGCGTAATTGTTAAGAGAATGGGAACGTTTTGCGGTTTTTATACCTTGTACATCTTCACAGTGAGCTGAAGATGCCATTTTACAAGCAGGATCTTCAGGGACCTTTTTCTTCTGAGTAGCGCGACTTAAAAATATTTCAGGAACTTTCTTCACTTTAACATGGTAGAATCATCGAACTTGCTGTTCAAAAAATATACCGTGACTGCGATTTATTGGTTCAAAATGTGCAACTTTCAACATCAATTATTGTTACTTCCGCGGGAAGTTGCTTATAAATTCTGGGCGACATTTTTGGGACACTTGCAGGCAATAAATTAACATTTGCTTTCGATCAATCCTGCAATATTGACCCACTTTTTGGTACATAGTCAATGTACAAGTCAATGTTATAAAGAAATTTATTTAGATTATTTAAATAAACAAGCAAATTAACAGAGAAAGTTGTCCAATCAAAAAGTGTCCAGTAAGAAAAAATTCAAACATTAACCAGTGTCGGTTTCTGTAATCAAGAAACGCTTTAAAGGACGGAATCCTGTTTTCAGAAAGATTGACGAGAAGAGACTTAGATGGCGCCAGCAGTTCCAGCATGTTTAAGCAGTACGGTTGCAGTTAACATTTTACACACAGAGATGGCACGTAGATGCTGGATCAATCCGATTTAGTCGCCATCTGATGATACGCAGTAAAATGCATTATAAATGACGCTTAAAAATTCCTACACAGAAAATTGTGAATTTTTTAAATCATTGAAGAGTTTTTTTTGAAGAGAAATTTCGCAACAATATTGCCCTAAAACGAACCAAACATGTTTTAAATGTTTCGTATTCATAAAAAAAATCAAAATAAAACATTTTTTTTCGCTTTTCTCTGAAACAGCAGCGTCTAACTAACGCTTTTTTTCCGAAAAACACAATTTTAAAAGTACTCTTCTGGCAATCCCGTTTTAAATGTTCTTTGTATTCTTGTAAATATTTTACTTTTAGGAACGTAATTGTTACAGTTTTATTGAAATATTTCAGAAAATTCTTACGTGGCGCCGTCTTAAAAAACGTGGCGGCAAGTCCAAGTCCGCATCCTTTGGAAAACGAAACAAAACACAAAACAAATATTTTAAAGCAAAACTAGTAAGTTTTTCGGTTTTTTAGGTCGCACGTCAAAAATAATTCTTTTATTCCAATAAGTTTCAATAAAAAAACATTTAGCGTTGAGCAAAATAATGTAAAATATGTTGAGCAACCTGAGAAGCAGAAAACTCGTATTTTCTTCATGCTTCAGTGAAACAACAGCAATTCTTGTTGGCTGAATCCAAAGAGTTTTCGTTGCATTATTTAAAAAAATGTACTCAGTTCTTTCTAAGCAAATTGTAAGGTGGCACATTAAAAGCAACATTAAGCGATCAATAAATTCATTCGAACCTAATGAAACACGTTCTGCGAAGCTAAAAACCCAATTTTCTAATAGTTAAGTGGTTTAAAGCTTATTGCTCGGCGGCTAAGAAGGTAAACCCGAATGAACCTGAGCTGGGAAAATCGATTTTTTTCATTTAATTTGCACGAAAAACTGCAGATGAATTTTCGAAAAATTAGCCTAATTGAACTAAAGTAGATTAGTCTCCAGTACTTACTGGGCCCAAAAATGTTTACAGTAGTAAGTATTATTGAAAACCTTCCGAAAGAACCTTTGAGTAATTTTCCTCATATCTTCGTCATTTTCACTCTCCAACAGACAAACCGATTAACGAGTTATTCGCAATTATTTCAGTTTTTTATGGTCTACCCCCTTAAGCGGCTCCCTCTAATAGTCAGAGTGTCATAAAGCGAAGAGAGTTTAGAGCTTATTAAGCTAAACTGTGGCTCGTTTGCGGCAAGCAAGTGAGAAAACTTGCGGTTGCTAAGATACAACAGGGAGGAGCCCAGGAAAGGCCCTCCCACTCCCCTTTGAGGAACCAGGGACTCAACATCAGCAAGTCGCTCATGCAGGATTTGCGTCAGTGCAGAAGGGCTGGTTGGGCAAAGGGAGAACTTTTTCCTGCGAAAATTTCAACTTACAAAGCGCCATATGGCGGCAAAGTGTTTTCATGTTTTCGGGCTTTTGAGGCCCAGCCGCTCTTACACAACTATTTAATTAGGTGATCACATGAGTGCTGATTATGATTTTTTTTTTTGATGATCTTTGTTTGAGTTGCCCAAGTGCTTTGGGCCAATATTTGCACTTGATTAATAGCTTTTGATAATCGCAGGTTTTGATTTTGGGGCTGATGAAAGCCGTGTGAAAATGTAGCGAAAATCCAAAAATGGCACATACATTTTGCATAAGTACCTAAGGAAAATCAAGAAGAGTAAAATCTGGCAGGGGACGCGTTCACCAAGTGAATCGCACTAATCAAAGATCCGGAACGATTCATAAACAAATTTAAAAAATTGTCTTAGCCTGAAATCAACAAATAGGCTGAAAAAAATCGAAATGCCGAGCAATTTTTATGAAATTTTCAGCATCATTTGCTTTCAGCAACTGAAATTTGTGCTAAAGATGGAGAAAAATTCAAGTTGCCACTTGCTTCGAGTTGAAAGATGCGATGTTTTAAAGGAAAGGGCGTCTTCGAGTCAAAATATGCATTTTGACACCGATATTTACTACGCCGGTAAAACCCAGGATTCTGCACGATTTTTATGAAACTTTCGGCATCATTTCAGTGAAGTGTCTTGTAAAGTTCGCCAAAGTTCCAAATCATTATTTGCTTTCGTTCGGACAACGCGAATTTTTAAAAGGAAGAACTTAGTTTGGTGAAACTTTCTATTTTGAGACCAATACTCACAAAGCATGAAAAAATCAAGGTTTTAGACAATTTTTATCAAGCTTTCAGGATTTTTGGAGCCGAATGTACTCTAAAGATTATGAACATTTTAAGTT